TGCTTTTGTATTGATGCTGAAAATGAATAACTCAATGGTCATTTTCACTGGAAGTTAAATAGGGTGGTCTCTGATTTTTCACAGTATTGTACAATGTTATATTTCTCTGCAATACTAATCTAATAAAAGGTTCTAGTCCCAATTTCTACATTCTATAAATTATTGTGTGTCTGCATTAACCGTGGCATCAACGCAAATGTTGTGAAAATGTGAAAAATACCAATCGTTGACATCAGCTCAGTATTTCCATATTTATTCATTCCGTCAGGTCAAACATGGGTTAGTATAAAATAGAAGAATATTTTTATCATTTGACTCTAAAAATACGGATTGCAGCTGTTTCTTTTAGAGTGTAACTACAGAATGTGCACTGTGCTTTTATCACACGCACTGATGCTGGAAGACCTACTTTAAGGAACTTCCTCAGGAGAGTGAAGGGGAGCAAATGCTGAAGTCCCAGTGGCTGTGTCTGGAGAGCCTCTCTCTCTGGGCCCACCCTGTGGCCTGCAGTGCATGGAGCAGGGGGCCTCCCCCATGCTGCTCGTCAGTGGAGTGGAGCTGCTTTTCATTAGGCCTGCTGGAGAAGCTGCGCTCCGCTCACTCCTGACCACTCTGGTTCCCGCCTCCCCCCTAAACACAAACACACCAGGGGGAAACCCGAGACCCCAGCCTGATGGGCCGCCGCCTGCGCCCGCACGCCGGCTCTTCATAAATCAGCCGGAGTACAGCCCCACAGCTCTTTTAGGCTGGGCCACTTGGCCCCTGAGCTCCGGAGAGACTGCAACAGCCAGAGCGGCTCTAAAGAACCAAGGGTGGAGAGGTTGCCGAGAGCATGCATGCAGTTGAAAGCAGAGCCCAAAAGATAGAAGCAGAAAAAACAATATACTTCAATTTTGAGTTAATGTTATAGAGAGTGTGAGAGTTCATATCATAGGTCTCTCAGGGTGTGTTGTCATTTTGTTGGTCGACATTAGCATCTGGACCAGCCTAGCCATTTCTGTTTGTAGGAGAAATGGATGGTATTTTTCCCCTGTTAAGCTCTGTGGTTAACCGATAAGTGTCATTTAAAATATGAGGTTGTTAAGTTTGTGAAATAGAAGTATTGCCTCATATATACTGCACGCAAGTTAACATACTTTTTGTGAATGTAATTAACATAGTAAGACTAGCAGTCTTATCAGAATGCCCTTTTTTTGAGAATTCTGAACACAACCAACACAAATTTGGTGAATAATTGTTGTCTGGCCATAATCTTTTGCTTAGAACTGGGGTGCCCAATCTTAGTCCCGGTGATTTACCCATCTACAGAGTTTAACTCCACCCTTGATCTAACACACCTAATGAATGTCCTCATCTGAATATTGGAAACAAGTGTGCTGGATCTGAACTTTCCAAGGTGGTAGGATTGCGACCAGTTCAGTTTAGAACCATGGCTTAGTTTTTGTTGCTGTTGTTGTTGGTGTTGTTGTTGGTGTTGTTGTTGGTGTTGTTGGTGTTGTTGCTGCTGCTAGCAGTGTAGCCTTTAGCTACTAACTAGCAAGCTGGTTGAATAAAGTAATGAAGTTGTCAAATATAACAGAAGGAACAGTTTGCTAAATAAATCCCAGTTTGAACATAGCAAATCAAATGTTATAGTTTTGAAATAAGTTGATGAAGGCATGTTAAAATGGGCACTGAAATGGCCATGAAATGGCCTGCTACTGAAGTAGTAGTTGCTTATTTACAGACCATAAAATAACATAAAACCTCAGAGCCCTGTATAAATGTTTTTAGGGTTAAAGTGCTTTTTTTCTTGTTTTATTTTGGTGAGTTTCTGCTGTTTGAGGTAGTTGACAGTTGTGAACTGACAATCCTTTTCAACAACTGATTTATGAGTCAGCATTGATTTCAATAAAAGATGACAGTGTGTGATTAGTAAAGCACTGTTTAAGTAAATCTTTTGGAGTGTGCTTATGTTTTTTCTGAACAAATATGTTTATATTGGCTGATGATATGAATTAGTGGAATTTTAGCTCCAATGCTGGAACAGATATCTATGACAAAATCAGTTGTGTCCCAGTTAAACATGTATGTGTGGTTGATTTTCAGGGAAGATAAATGCAGCCCAGGAATATAGAGTGTTTCTGATTCTTTGTTGGGATTCTCTTGAGCCTATCAGCTCAGGTTCAGGTTAGAGTGAAGGCACACACTGGTCTGGGTTCAGGGCTGATGTTTTAATCCAGCTGTGGAGATGTGTTTCTGCACCTCCCAGGCAGCCCAGTACAGGGATACTGCCTGGAGCACTGACACAGCCACGTATAGCCCGTTTAAACTGAGAGACACGTTGGTATTCATTAGATGTGCATGTTACTACATTTTCAGCACCTCATAACTCAGAGACCAAGCACAAAAGGAAAGCCACAGATTGTTTTTTTGTTTCAGTGGGCTCAGGTCTGCTTGTGAACTGTTAGTGATTACAAAGTGAGCATGAAGCTGCATTAATGTAATTCAGGTCTTTTGTATTTCCTTGGGTGAAAAGAAATATACTGATGTCTGGTTCAAGAGAACATCTTGATTGTTTCATTTAATTTAAAAGCCTGAAAGTGTCCATTGTTCCTCTTAGGAGAAAGCGAAAAGCAGGGACCTGGCACGGTCACACACAGCTGCCGCACAGTTTGTACACACACAGTTTTCGGTTACGCTCCAACACCACAGTCACTGGCAAGCACTGGTGTATTCAGACGAGGCAGTCAAGGATAAAGAATAGTCTGTGTGTGTGTTTTGTTTGTGTACAGATTCTTATTTCTTGAGTTTAGAATGTTGTGGGGACTTTTTATGATTCTAGGATTAGATCTAGTGTGAGGTTTTGTGCCTAGGGTTAGAGGCATGGCAATAGTTTGGTCAGGTGAAGATAGTAGTTTGAGTTAAACAATGCTTTTCTGTAAATTAGCTCTTATTTTTAAATTTTTCATCAGTTCTCTTCATATAAAGATTTTGGCCAGGCGTAGTATTAGCTCTTATTAATTCAAAAGTAGGTCCCCACAAAGATATAAAACATGGTGTTGTAAGGTTGTCTGTATGGGGGGGTATATAAGAGTTTCTGCACAAGCAACTATTTCACAGTATCTATGCAGAAATGTGTCTCTGTACTGCAGGAAGTGGGTGGAGCTTCGGTCCACCTGCCCTGTCCGTCATAGTAAGGACAGCTGTGGTGGCTGGCTGGCGTCAGGCTGCCACGGCGACGGCTATCCATCAACAGCCTGGCTCAGCAATGTGTCCCCCCCCTCACTGCATTCCAGCAGAGCCCCACATTCCACAGCCACCTCTGGGCGCACTGACCTCCCACGTTCTCCCTGCTACCCTTCTGTCACACACACTTTGTATATCTTCGTGTATCACATTTGTAATGCCTCTTTTTAAGACTTTCTCTTGGTATACGTGTGACGGCAAAGCAGGGAGAAGAATTAACCAATTAATTAATCATTTTCCAGTCGGAATCCTTTTTCTTTTTGGGAGAGATTTCTGAAGAGATTATTAAAAGATTGAGTTTAAAATTATTAAAAGTTATAGATAAAATGGGACCACTAACAACTGTACAAGACCAGGGAGAATTCCAAACTTTCACCAAATAGGAGGAAATCAAAGGCCACCCTTGTTCAGATCTATGGAGCCCTGCTGGTGACATCCCATATTAATGAAAATAATGCGACTTCGTAAGGCGTGGAAGTGAAATATTGCCTTACCAAGTCGTGGCCATGCATTAGGATCTCGTTCCCAAACCTTATCCCTGCAGGTCTCTCTTTTGACTTTTGCACCGTACTGTATATGTGAAGCGCTTTGCTTTCACTTACGTCCCAAATGTCTTATTTCTCCACTCATATATATCAGGGCTCAACTAATGCGGAAAATATGGTGAACCAATAATTAATACAGATTTTAAGGAACTAACAAATCAGATAACCTATAATGTCAATTGATGTAATTTTATATGTTCAAAACTCGAGTAGTGCTCTTCTGAGTGATATGACTGTCAGTTGTTAAGTTTCACATTTCTGTATGCTGTAGTGCCAGGACAGAGCTTCCCAGAATACATTGTGCTTTGGGTTTCTGTATTAGCCCTTTTGTTTTTTTTTTTCATTAGTGCTCTTCATCTAAAGATTGTTGATGTTTTCACAAGTGATTGACATTTGTTATTTTAACCATGATGGTGTTTTGTGTTCAGATTTACCAGTTCAACATGTATTGCCATGACAGAAATGAGCAGGTGATAACTGTAACTGTCTCTTCAATTAAGCTTGAAGCCATTAAATCATCAAAATTTAATGTAAGACTAGCCACTTATTATCCAACCTTATTATCAGGATATTCACCCATCCCAGTAAATTCTTGGGTCAACCAAGGGATGTTTATATCCATTGATTGTTCCCTGAGAGCTAACTGTGTTATAAAGTATGCAACTGAAAACTCTTTTGCTAAGAGCCTAGCATCTGAAAAGTCGCCTGTTCCAGGCTATGATTGTGAAGCTAGAATGAAGTAAGCCCCCTGTCTGGATATGCACTGCTGTATATGTTGGATTGGGCTTTGGTTTGAGGGAGTGCTCCTGTTGTCTCACTAAGGCCCCACTAGTGGCTCTTTTTAATATACTTGCAAAGGTTTGTGATTTATGGAAGGAGACAGAGTCTTCATCTCTGGGACCCTGGAGATCAGGATTTAGGGCATAATTAGTCTCACCTCCACTCCCCTCTTCCTCTCCTCTTCTCTGCAAGTCAGCCCTCCAGCCCCAGGCTGGGTTGGGGTGGGGTTGGGGGTATCCACCATGTGCGTTGGGCTCTGGGGAGGTCTATTAAAAAGCCATTCATTATAGAAGCACCTCCCCTGGACCTTGAGATTTCACTACTATATTACACAGCCTGTAATGTGGATGTGCCTGACTGTAGAGCATTGCCTTTGTTATGCATTAAAATTTATCAGCCAGTGTTTAGTCTCAGTGTAATTGTGTCCTCTGCTGAATCTCTGTCCAGGTTCCTGTCTCAGATTGGTGGTAGTTTGGACCAGCTGGGCGGTACGGAGCTCCGGCAGCAGGTTGAAAGCAGTGTGGGGAGTAATGGTTTGGAGGCTTTGGCCCAGTCTCTAAACACCAGCCCTGAGACCCTACAGCTTATTGTGGATGGCCTCACTCAGCCACCTGGTTTTGACATCCGTCAGGGTAAGAAGGAACCAGCACCTCCACAACATTGCACTATATTAGTGGTTTCCAGTCCTGGTCTTAGAGTACCCTTACCCGGCACATTTTAGTGTTCTGCCTGCTCAGGCCCAGAGGAGCACCAGCAAATGAGGGCAGAAATTTCTATTACACTGTGAATGGTTGGGCATTCTAGAACAATATGAACTGAAAACCTTCTGTAGCAGTGTGAATTGGAGAGAGTATTTTAGAACAGTGTGAGTGGGGAGAACATCCTGAACAGTGTGAATGAGGGGAGAAGCTTCCATTAAAGTTTGAACGGGGTAGCATTCTAGAACAGTATGAATGTAGATGTTGGGGGGTTCTATAACAGTGTGAATGATGGGAACATTCTAGAACAATAAGATTGAGAGGATCTTTTATAGCAGTGTGAATGGGAGGAACATTCTAGAACAATGACAATTGGGAAAACATTCTAGGAAAATGTCAAAGAGGATAGAACTTTCTATAACTTTGTGAATGAGGGTCTTTTTATATCAATGTGTATAGGGAGAACATTCTAGAACAATGTTAACGAGGAGAGAAGCTTGTAGTGTGAAGGGGGAAACATTCTAGAACAAAGTGAACGGGGAGGACCTTCTATTACAGTTGAATGGTAGGAGAACATTCTAGAACAATGTGAATGAGGGGAGAAGCTTCTACAACAGTGAGAGTGAGGAGAGAACATACTATAACAGTGTGAAAGGGAGGACAACATAATAGAACTGAATGAGGGAAGAACATTCTATAACAGTGTGAATACTGGGAGAACATTCTAGAACAATGTGAAAGAAGGACGAACCTTCTATAACAGCGTGAACTGGGGAGAACATCCTAGAGTCTCTCTCAGGACTCTAGACTCATTGTTAATTAGCTGGTTAGTTGGACCTGTTGTGTTAAAGCAGTAAAATACTAGAAAGTGCAGGAGGTGGGTTCTCTAGAACGGGACTCTGCTCTAGACAACCACTGTACTCTACAAAGTTTTAGTATAGCAGTTTATTTCAAAATGTTTGTGGTTACTGGCAGGCGCACATTCACATAACATGCAACATGTTCAGTAAGAGTTTATTTATCATTTGCAAATGAGGATTAATATTGCAGTGATGTAATGTTATGTAATAATATACTGTAACATTATTTTGTAACAGCAGACTTTAGAGGTTGCAGTTTTTGGCACACCTTGACTGCTACGCGCCTTCACAGACACAGACCAAAGCACTTTCTGCCCCTTATGACCATAATTCAGACAGATTAAAGAGAGCAGTGTCTGTGTCTGGCTCTCTGTCTCGGTCTCTCTCTTTCTCTCCCCCCACCCCATGTCTGCCTCTGGTCTGAGCGTGATCTGGGCGGTGCTCCAAGCTTTTTGAAGTCTCTCCGTTTAATTTGGGGGAAGACCCAAGTTATTAAACTAGCCGTGCCGACAGATATATCATTAATGAGAGTACAATCTGCTTAAACAGAAAAGCAGAGTAACACTGTCAGTGGTGAATCCCCCCCCTAGCCACTCTCATTGTGAGAATAAAACTATGTGAACAACAAACACTTATCCTGGTTTTAACATTACCCTCAGGCATGCCAGAGGATGCTGTTTTCCTGGTGTGGCTGGTGATGATGTGTGTTATGTTCATTACAGCCATCAGGATAATAAATAAGATTAATGACATAATGTCTTTTACGTAGACTTGGTGTGGGATGAAATTAACATCAGGTAAAATCAGAATGTTTTTCCAACAGAAATACCACAGCATAATGTTACCTTAATGGGAAATTACTGGAGAACATAAGTTTCTTTAACAAATCTGATATTTTACTGTATCTGTAGTAGACGCATGTCATGGAAATGTAATAGGGATGCTTTGATGTGGAGTTTCTGAGCTGGTACTTTAACTGATAATAAACTGTTTTGATCAGTACTGATAATCATTCTTTTTTGCATTTAAAACAAATTCACTCTGTAATCAATATATGAAGTGCAGTGAGCACAAGACTCTAAAGATGGAACATTAATTTTACATTACCATAACAGGCCAAATCAGACATGACAGTTATTGAAGACAGTTCCTCTCCTCATCAATGGCCAGAACAAACCACAACAAGCAGGTTTAGGGCTGTGAGTGCCCTGGTTTTAGTGTCACTCTCAGCAGAAAGTAGTGGTACTGGGATAGGTTTCACTGTACTTAGATATTTGAGATGATTCATCACACTTGTCATGCCTCTGTGGTACACCAACCTCTTATTGTAAACTTGCCGCGAGCATTGATTTTGTCATCCAATAATTTAAAGTGCCTTAACCCCTTAAAATTCCACACGTTACATACTAAGACTTATTATTTAGTAACTACAGGGACTATAGTGCAAACTGGCTGAGCTTTTTTTAGGTTATAGAAGTGTGTACTAAAACTTTGTTCCTGTTGGCAGGGCCCTGGCCATTTAAGGGTTTAATGCGATTTCTTTCTAAGGCATCTTTGCTCTTTTAGCTCCAAAGGCCACATGGTGCAGTTTGTTGCATTTTTAGGCAACGTGATGTGGGTCCCTGGCATGAATTTATAATGCAGTCAGCTAAACCAGCTGTATTTTTTTTTGTTTTTTTGTTTTTTTTAAGCATTTTTCAGTATTAACAATCACTGTTCTGTCTAAGGGCTTTTGATGATTGAACTATTTTGTAGTTTAGGCTACAGTTTTTGTGGCTTGAAAACAGACTTCTAACTAAAAAGAATGTCACATACAGAATTGAATCCACTACGCTGTTCATTTGTGTGAGTTTAAAAGAAGAGAAACTTCCTCACTAGTGACTGACTGTATGTGCCTCAGTGCTTGCGCAAGCTAAAAATAGGATGTTGAATTACTGTGATTTCAATTTAAGATTAACAACAACAATTACATTTTCCCATTTGTCGCTGAATAATATTGGCTGCTGATATATCAGGTGCCCCTAGAGCCTATGTGTCAAACAAAAGGCCTGCGGGCCAGATCAGGCCTGCCACAATCCAATCCGGCCCGCAAAAATATTTTAATTTTCTATTAACATTAGCCCGTTTCACAAGGTGCTGCACTACAGTCCCCAGCATGCACTGCAGCATAATGTGCTCTGACTCTCCTACCCCAACAACAATCTATGGGACAGCAGTTACACCTCAGTTCTACACAATTCTGCGCAATTCCACACCAGTTATATCACCAAAATGCATTTCAGCTGCAGTTCAACCAATATAAACACTTAACATTAGATCAGCAGTTCAGGAAGTGAGCCCAAGTCTTAATGAACTTACAGCAAAGAAAGGATGTCAGGTGTTCAGGCAAATAGATAGGTTTAAAAGACTGAGCACCTGGGGTCATTTAAATTTTGAATATTTCAAGTGTCCATGTAGTATTTCAAGGTCTACTACAAGTGCCTGTATTTTACTGTTGGGGTTATAACACAACATTAATTAAGAAGAAATAAAAACATTTTTTCTCTGACCCCCAGATTTGATGAGATTTTTTAATATGACCCTTTTACTGGTTGAGTTTGACACCCCTGCCCTAAAATGTAACAGTCACTTTAGTCCCTAGCCTAACATCCATTGCCAGTCCAGGTAAGGAATTTTCCCTCCACATTTACATGCAGACAAAATGGGACAACATCTTGTGTTATGTATTGAATTCAAGCCTATTTTATGCCTATGGTATGATGTATGAATAGTCTTTTTAGGTAGTGGAGAGAGTTCTATGCTTCCGCCCATTGCGTGTTGACAGTGGCGCTGTTATTTGAGGTTGACTTAACCATGGAATTCTGGCAAGAACATACAGACTATTTTTAGGTGTTTGAGGTTTTGTTTGTACAATAGATCTAAATATTTTATGTGGTTAGATACTTGAGTGTGAGACAAATAATCCACTGCACATTCCAAAGCGCATTTTTGTCAGCCACAAACTCTGCTTTGTTGGTATCTGGAATTCCAGGCACATGTTCTGTGTAAGTGTTCACATCATTTATTGCGATGAATGGTACGGTTGCGTTCTCTGCAGAGTGCCTGTCATGTTTCGAAGCTGCCGCGTGTCACTCACTGTCTGAGGCTCAGAGCTATGTGTAGTGAAATGACTGGGACACTGGTTTTCCCATCAGGAGGTTGCAGGTTCACTTCCCCTGCTTGAAGGCCTGATGAGGCTGGCCCTGTAGCCAGCTGTATAAATAGCTGCCATGTGATCCATGCGTTAGCTAAGGTGTCCCGGATAAGAATAATCAGAGATGAATGTTTCCTGAACCACAGAGCCTGTGGAGAGGCCACGTTTGTCTAAAAGCACCTTCCAAAGAAATTCACCCCAGAAAAAACTGCATTGACTGTTAGACTGCTGAAAAGAACAACTGGTAATTTCATTTGTTTTAGGCAGCTTCATCTGACAAGTCTTCCTTTATAGGTCTTAGATATGTATTTTTGCTTTGAGATGTAATGGACCAGTTTAGTTGGAGTGAAGTTGACTTAGTTGGAGTGACTGTTGAAATTAGAGAAAGACTTAAGATGGCTATCTAAAAGTAGACCACCATGCTCTAATGGCTCAAACACTCTACTACCATATAGGGCAAAATACATGGCTAACATGACAAAACCACAGCTTTTCTTTTTGTTGTGCTTTTTTCACAGTAATGTGTAAACATTTTGTTTTGTTTTGGTTTTTCCTTTGACTTTAGTATTCAAGTTTATGAGCTAAACTCACTGTCTGGTTCTTTTAAAATACATTTTTGAACGTGCAAAGTAGTGAATACATAAACACGCATTCAGTGGCTCAAAAATGTATTTGGACCATTTAACTATTGGAACATTTATTGAAGTTCTTTAGGTTACTTAAAGCATAAATACATAAAATGTTTTACGAAATGATGCTTGTTTCAAGCACAACAAACTGATGGTAGACTCTAAGCCTGAACGATAATCATTTTTATATCAAAATTGCAGTTTAAGGGAGTGAAGTTTTTAAATCACAAAAGCTGCAATTTTAATTATAGCCTACATTGTTAACAACGTTTCAAGAGGGCAAATCTAACGAAATAACATAGAGTTCATGAACTGCCTGTAGGCGAGTTAGAACAGTCAGAAGCAACCAAACATCTACATGCTGTGTATGTGCCAAGGAAGCAACAACTAACTGGTCAAAACAGGAGCTTAATTAGTAGAAAATAATCCAAATTTAAATCGCATTCACAGTAATGAGATATATTCCCTAAATTGTTTAGCCCAGACTCTTTGCATGGAGAAAGTCTGAAGAAGAATTACAACCAGGGTAGCAAGAGTAATGTAAAGCACGGAGATATAAACGTCCATGTCTGGGGCTGTTTTTCATACAGTGGCATTGCTGAGCTTGTGTTCATTGATGGATCATGAAGTCATAAGTGTACACAGGCATTTTGGATGCAAACCAGCAGAGGTCTGCAAAGATATTCCTCAAATTATAACAGTCTGAAACACACCAGCTGTCTTTTGAAAGAATACCAAAAAGAAAATGACAGTCTTAAAACAGTCTGTTTAAAATAAATGCCACTTATTTTAACATTTTGTTTCCTTACACAGTGAGTTTAATATTTTTTTAGGATAGCGTGTCTAAATGTCTAAATACTTTTGGGTCTGCTGTATATGTACTGTCCTGATATTGATACTGGGTATCAGATCGGTGCCATTTCTACTTGAAATGTGTTTTTGAATGTCTTTCTCTCCTCATTCCTCCTTTCCATCCCCTTTTGCATCCACATTTTTGCTTTGCTCTCCTACCCTCTTCTCACAGACTTTGAACAGGCAGACTTTAAGCAAGGGATCGTGTCCATGGGTGACCTCCATGAGGGCATGGTTCTAACAGGACGTGTGGAGAACACAGCTTTATTCGGGGCTTTCGTGGACATCGGAGTGGGCCGATCAGGCCTCATCCCAAAGCGGTACATCACTCTGGAGAAACTGCCTGTTGACAAGAGGCGCAGAAGTCTAGCTCTAGGACCGGGAGAACGTGTTGAAGTCCGAGTTATGGATGTGGATCTTCAGCGGAATCGAATCAGCTTGGACCTCATCAGGGTTCTCAGATAGGAATCCTATAGCGAGCTCGGTGTTGGAGAAGAGCAGAGACAGAATTGCCATTCTGTTCACAGTTGTTGTAAATAATTGTAGGAGAAACCAGTTAATGAGGCCCAAAGCACAAGTGCAAATGTTCCTTTAAGGTGAATATGTATAAGGTTGTTTTGTTTGGTTACTGTTAAGTAATCGTTCCATTTACACAATATATTTCTGATACTGTTTTGCCTGTCCTTTACATACAGTGGTAATCTATAGATAATGCTAATGAATAATAAAAAAAAGGGGGAAAAAGTTTGCAGTTATTGTATAATTCTTCTGAATTTGATATGTGTGCCATGATTGTACCCATATAAGACTGTGCTTTATATACCAAGATTTACAAGGTTTGCATTGATGCTGTATGTCAAGAAACTGGTGAGTAAACATATTTTGTTAATATTGACAGACTTTTATCTTCATGAATTCTACATTTTTTAAATGTCTGATTGCAAAAACACTTAACGACCTTTTGAACTGATCTACCAATCATAAAGAGTATTTAACATTTTGGCAGTCTTATTCCCGAATTACATTTATCTGGTGAAATTATCAATCCAAGGGCGTTTTCTCATGTCTACAGAAGACAGACTGTTTTTCTCAAAAACATACCTTTGACAACACAAATGCTGGACCTGGAGATTGCTACAGCTAATCCTATAGAAATTGTTTGCTATATTTATCTTTTTGTCTTCATAACCTTTACTCAGGCTGAAAAATTAGTCAGCTTGAATTGTGCGAAAGCCTTTGCTTGTGCCTCTCCTGTGGACCTGCATACACAGCCATATGTGAAGGTTTTAATACCCCAGTCAAATTACATGTTTTGTTAATTTTCTAAGAAAAAAGTTAACGCATCCTCTACAGAGAGGAATGTGGCATTTTTCTGCAAATTTTAGTGCAGTTTCTATTTACACCAGTCAGGCATAACATTATGACCACCTCCTTGTTTTTATGCTCATTGTCCATTTTATCATCTCCACTTACTATATAGGTGCACTTTGTAGTTCTACAATTACAGACTGTAGTCCATCTGTTTCTCTGCATACTTTGTTTTACTCTGTTCTTCAGTGGTCAGGACCCCCATGGACCTTCACAGAGCAGGTACTATTTGGGTGGTGGATCATTCTCAGCACTGTAATAACACTGACATGGTGGTGGTGTGTTAGTGTGAGTTGCGCTGGTATGAGTGGATCAGACACAGCAGTGCTGCTGGAGTTTTTAAACAGCTCTCTGTCACTGCTGGACTGAGAATAGTCCACCAACCAAAAATATCCAGCCAACAGCGTCCTGTGGGCAGCATCCTGTGACCACTGATTAAAGGACTAGAGGATGACCAACACAAACTGGGCAGCAGCAGATGAGCTATCGTCTCTGACTTTACATCTACAAGGTGGACTGACAAGGTAGGAGTGTCTAATAGAGTGGACAGTGAGTGTTTAAAAACTCCAGCAGCACTGCTGTGTCTGATCCACTCGTACCAGCACAATGCACACTAACACATCACCATCACGTCAGTGTAACTGTAGTGCTAAGAATGATCCACCACTCAAATAATACCTGCTCTGTTAGGGTCCATGGGGGTCCTGACCACTGAAGAACAGGGTAAAAGGGGGCTAACAAAGTATGCAGAGAAACAGATGGCCTACAGTCTGTAATTGTAGAACTACAAAGTGCACCTGTATAGTAAGTAGAGCTGATAAAATGGACAATGAGCGTAGAAACAAGGAGGTGGTCATAATGTTATGCTTGATCGGTGTATTTGCTGAGTTTAACATATTAGAAAAAAAAGTCATAACTTTCCCCTCAATATTTTACATTCTGCAAATAAACAGCAGTGCATTTAAATGTTTAGAAGTGTTTTCTGCAGAGAATGTGTGACTAATTTTTGCTGAGAAAATGAACAAAACGTAATTTGGCCAGGGGTGCCCAAACTTTTGCTTATTGCTGTGCTATGGTTGAGAAAATAGCCTGCTGTGGGTAAGTAGGAAAAAAGATTTTAATTTGTTGGCAGGATTCACAGTAAGCCAAGTGCCTGCAATTTGTTTGTATGTTTTTGTCTGTTTAAGGTACTGTTGCGATAGCGAGTTTGATAGAAATGCAGTTTGATTGACAGCCTTTGAGGAAGAGGAATGGAGGAGGGGTGTACAAGCAGCTGCCAGACAGCAATATGACTTAGGGGGCCATGGGGAAAAAGCTAAACCTAATTATCCCAGGCTAGCCACGTGCTAATCAGCCACTTCAAAATTAATCCCATATTCCCTCTTCTCTATTATCCAATCTGTTTGTGTGTATGTGGCACAAATAAAGAAATGGATAAATAAGAAACCCACAGTGCCCTGAGCACTTTGCACAAACCGCAGAGAGAATACCAAATCAGGAGATGAAATTTGCATTTGGAATGTTGCTTTTTTTGTCACGGAGAAGTTTCATCAGACATAACCAGCAGTGGCAGGGAAACAGCTATTGCCAGGGTATGATCAAAGGCCTGAGATTTTTCCGCTGTTTTGATACATCACAGTTGTTCTGCTGTCCTGAGTGGCCCTTGGCGCTGGAATATCATCTTATACGATGGCATTTGAAAACTGAAACTGATTTGCCCTTATGTTTCTTTTAAGGTTCTGTTTCCTGTTTCAGGATTCATTGTGTGGCCCTGTCCTTTAACGTGTACTTTCGTGTATTTTCTTAGCTGTGTGCTGTATGCGTGCGAGTGTATTTGTTCTAGGCTCTGCATGTGGGTATTGGACCAGCCTGGTGAAGCATCCCTGTAGTCACCTGTGTTATTAAGAACCTCTGACCCATTCACAGCCTTGAGACGTGAGCCAGCCAAGGCAAAAGCCAGTTAAGGGGAAATTACTTCACCAACACCATCCAGAGAGCCATTAAGTCCACTGACTGAGCCAATGCTTCTTGCCCTGAAGACTGTTAAGAGCAGGTGTGGATTCACTTGGGCCTTGCTGTGATGCGAAACTGAAATCCAGAGAAGAATAGAGGGTGAGTCCTTCCCTGAGGTATTACCTAGTGAATTCAAGCATAGGTTTGAAGCCATGCATTCAGCTGTCCCATTTATGATCCTGAGAGGCTGATATGTTGCTCAGCTTTGGGGATTGCCATTAGAGAGGCCTCCTAAAGGAGAACTGAAGGGGGCAGCAGGTAGGAGCAGTGATCTCAGGATGGATCTTTTTGCTTCAGCAGCCTGTTCTAGACATAGCATTTTATCAGGGCTCTTTCACCTTGTTGATGAGTACGTGTGGATAAGTACACTCATGTCACTGTCATTTCCCACTTTTTCCCCATTACATAGTTTTTCATTAGCTAAATTAAGAAAAGCAGTTTTGGTTAACATGTGGTTTAAACGTGAGCCAAGTACGAAATGTCTTTGGCTGGACAGGAGTGTGGGTGCAACCAGTGGATGATGTGATGAAGGCTGTAGTGCAGAACAGCCATTGCTGCAAGTTATACAAACCAGGCCCCACACACACAATATGCACCTACTATTGATTGTGTGATGAGAGAAGTGTGAGCAGTAGGTAGGTGCATTTCAGGATAGTGCCAATGCAGATTCCTTTCAGATGTGTGTGAATGTGTGTTTTCCTTGCCATTTAATTGGCACAGTCTGAAGAGTGTGCACACGTTGCAAGTGGTTGGATTTGAAATTGGCAGTGATTTGTATGCTGGAGCCTCAGTTTTATGAGCTGTTGCCAGATTTCCCACAGCGGAGAGTTGGAGCTCCTCTAGGGCACCTGTCATAGGGGCTCACCCTTTAGCCAACGCTCTTTCCAAGACTCAGAAAGATGCTTACACATACCACACACACACACACACACACACACACTTACATGCCATCCACCATTTAATTCATATTTAGTGAAAATGACCATAAAGTACTGAGTTATTCATGTATTCTTGAGGCTTCAGTATTTAGTGTCTATCCTTTGCCTTTGCTTTTAGTTTTCCAAAGAAATCTGCAGGGATATTGTTCCCACTTGCAAAGTTCAGTCTCGGAAGTTGGTTGCATTTTCTGCTTCTCATAATCCAAGTAATCCCAAACACATCCAGTGATATTGAGGTCTGGACTCTGGTTAGTCCATTGTTCTGAGAACACCAGACAAGTTTTTTTTTCCCTTCTTTTTTGTCTATTTCTTTTTCTCACTATACATCATTTCAGACTCAGACTCATAGTGCTGAGTTGTCTTCTCACAGTGGAAGGATGGACAGAAACACCTGAGGATGTTTTCAGATCTGAAGCAGCTTGATTTTCTCCTCTCTCAAAGATGAAAGCTTTAAATAATGTTTCTAATATTGACCGTTTTGGTGGTATGCCAGGTAAAGCTTGGTGAATAGGGATTGCATTTCTCCTTTGATTTTGTGTGTTAATGTGTTTGTTTAACCATTTCCAAACCTCTTCACAAAGAAGCCAACTATTATTTGTAGTTATCATTACTTGAAATCAGGCATGCTGGTGATGGAATTTAAATAATCCATGCAATGGCTTTGGGCATTGAGGCAAAATCTTGAACCAAACCTTTGTTCAACTAATTAGCTCTAATTAGCAACTAATTAACTTTTTTGAAAACATGAAATTCTTGTTACTTTTTACCATATTTATGTTTGTTTGCATTTATTCTGTGTTACGAGGTTTACAAGCAAAAATACATTGATTACTCAGATAAATGGTTTTAAACAATTTGCTTAGGTTAAGACTTTTGCACAGTACCACCTTCCTATTACCCCCCTCTAAAAGTACCCTATCCCTTTAAATGCATAAAAATAGTAACTTATTCAAAATACATTTAGAATTGACCTTATTCAGTACTCTTTGCATAGAATAGCCCGAGATCAGTCTGAATGGCGTGGAAACTTGTAAAAGACCAGTCTATTATTACTACTTGAGGCTGATCAATTCTAAATTCAAATCATAATTACACTGGGAAAGTAATAATAAATTATGATATGAAGCAAAGTTCTAATGTTATTCATTTGTAGTTTTCACTATGATTGTTATTTTTTAAACATATCTGCCAATATGTTAAAAAATATATATGTATGTTTATGCTTATGATTACCTTTTTTTTCGTTCACACAGTCAAGTGTACAAATTAGAACTAGATATATGCACTGGATGTACTTTAACCCCCCCCCACACACAGACACACACACTGTATTCACACAGATGATGCATTATATACTTCAGCATTGCATAAGTAAATTAGTTGGAAGGTATTTTGAAAGAACTCTCCTAAAACAAATTATACA